AGAATGGTTATCATATGAGTGCCAATCATAGGTTACAGACTTATTGCGGTACGACTTCTGTAACTCAATACTGTGCTCGGCCTCCCCCCCCCCCCCCCCCCCCAAATAATTTTATGGTGCTGTATATTGAATACATAAAATCTTAGGTCTACTGCTACTAATACATAGGGCGTTTTAGAATAGTCCTGTCATATGCAAGCATCCATCGGGCACATACAGAGGAGACACGTGCTGCGTGAGTTGGCATATAAAAAAAACTCGAATTTGTGAATACTTGAACGGAACAGCAAGTTCAGAGAGACATGCGCTGTAACTGTGACTAACTTTACGCAGAAAATCGTTTTTGGCTCAGTAATCAGCAGGAGCGGCTGTCCTTGTGAAATAGATAGTAGATACTAAATCTATTTAGGGTGGCGTGCGCTGCTAATGCGTCGCCCCTCACCAATGCGACACTCGTATGTGAGTAGAGTTGTTTGTTGGTTCTCTCCTGTGCTTCGAGGGTTTTTCTCCGGGTTCTCCGGTTTTCCTCCCTCCGCAAAAATCAACTTCTAAATTCCAATTCGATCTTGGGCTTTCACCTAGCATGGATCCGAGGGTTCCGTTCGTGATTGTCCCACTCTGTGATTACAGACAAAACTGGTAGATTTTTATTGTTTTCAGTGAACGATTGGACTTGCTCAAGAGAAAATGAACTAAGAGAAGGAATCACCCCTATATAGCCTTGTAACCATCATGTGCACAGTTTGATGCTATTTTTAAACCATTTGTTTTTCTGCACGCGCATTTACTGCGCGCGCTCTACGCTGTTTGCTTACGTTTTTGGGATTTTTTCGTTATTTCGACGACTCTGCCCTGAATATGAATGTGCACGTCGAAAGATTGGCAAATACGATAGGAAATTGAAGTAGTAATTTGTTCAACTTTCTGGAGTATTTTTACATTTATTTTCCAAAGCTTTCGACCTACATCGTCATCTTGAGGGCAGATTTGAACATTTGAACATAACAAAAGTGCAAGAAAACGTTAGCAAACAGCGTAGAGCGCGCGCGTACTATGCGCGTGAAGAAAATCAAACGATCAAATATATGATATCATTGGATGATATTTTTAGAATAGATTCTAAAAATAGCATCAAAGTGTGCACATGATGGGGCATGGGGATTCCTTCTCTTAGTTCATATTCTCTTGACTTGCTTTATTAGATTTTGTTAAGACAACAAAGCTGGAATCATGAAATAATATGGACAGGCCAGCAATTAGTATTTGGTTAAGGGGGAGGGGAGGGTGAGGAATCACGTTAATTTCACGAAAATATAAACGGTCAAATCACGTTTCACGAAATAATAGCTTAATTGAATACATTATTGTAAATATTGCAGATTAATAGTATTATATCTAGCTCCTATGTTTAACAGAGCTCCTTTTGATAGCAGAGGCATTTTGCCACTGACTGGACTACCCTGTTATTATATTTAAGTTTATAAAAGAACTGTTATGAGTGTCGCGTTCTGATTGGTTTGGAGCGCGTGCTTTATGAGAGTACATTGCACGCGCGCGCACTTTCGGTTGCGTCATTCCTATCTATTATTGTAATTTATATTTCATAAAAGAAATAAAAAACTTGCTTGCTGTGCTGTGTGCAGTTATAAAGCACGCTACGCTACGCGTCGTGCTTCTCCTAACACTTCTCTCGTGTTCTGCCAACCCCCGCGTGCTTTATGACAGCACAAAGCACAGCAAGCAGGTTTTTTATTTCTTCATTAAATAAAGGTGTCTATCTATCTATCTAAATAATAAAAATGGCTGCCATTTCGCATTTCACGAAAAATACCCCACGGATAACATTTTAAGACTTTCTTTTTTTAAATTTTAATTTGTTACATGAACATGCAAAGCCTCTATAAGCCGGACTACCTTGGATACGAGAGCGAATTAAGAAACATGTCCATTGTTGGTAAAAATCAATAACCTAGCTYGAACCACTCTAATTAGAAACCTGATCTGATCCATCGGTAGTTTTGATCTGAGCAAAATTAATTCTCCCTTCAAACCGAGTAAACTTGCTTGTCGCTCAACTGTTGATGGAGTTGTCGATATTACCATGACGGACTGTACATGTGTGCATAGTCAATGGAGCGGAATGCTTGGGAAACCTATTCTAGGTTTTCGTTGCACTTTATTCATTGTTATATGACGTTGGCCGTGCACAGGGAAGGAAAAGATTTTCCTTGATTTGTTCACAGTATAGGGGAATATATTTTTTCCCTAAAAAGATGTTCTAAGCAGTTATTATTCATTGATTAATCCTATATGATAACATTAATTGTTTATCGAAAAGGAAATCGTCTTTTTTCATGCTTTCTTATTTATCATCTAGTGATTTAACTGTATCTGCGCGGAAATATTTATCCGCATGGTTTGTGGTCATCGAATGAAAGTTTTCGCTCTCAAAATGTTCATACATGAAAATGATAAGGAAATGAGTATTTTCAGCCATACTTGCTTTGGTTCATTGTGCAGGGTCAGCATCACGTGATGGTACGATTCGACAATAAACCTCGAGGTCACGTGCAAATCCAAATTTAAGGGCCACGATACCAGAACATAATAATAATTATAATTATAATCATGATTAATTATAATCAATAATTAATAATAATAATAAATTACTTATAACGCGCATATTTCATATGCATATGCTCATATGGGCAAACACGAGTATTATCAAGGATGCCATCCAAATTTAAGGGCCACGATACCAGAACATCATCATCATCATCATCATCATCATCATCATCATCATCATCATCATCATCATCAATTTATTACTCATAACGCGCATATTTCATATGCATATGCTCATATGGGCAAACACCAGTATTATTATGCATTGCTATGCCTTTTTTTCCGATAAGAATTCATAAAATTCATTATTTTCCTCTTTAAATGTAAAACTTTCTTCTCAATTTTACTGAATTTGCGTTTTTCAGTTTTGTGGCCCGTCAAGTTGGATGCCGCACGCAAACCTCTATACGATCTATAGTTTTCTTCTATGATGTGTGCAATTAGCCACGTAACCGCAATGTTTTATTCAAAAACGGTCTCAAAACAATAGGATAACATCGTTTTTTTTCTCTGCTAACGATATTTATATATATATTTGTGTATAACTCGTCTGTAAACGAATTGCGGAGTTATCATTATGACAACGCGTAAGTGTCAACAATAATTTGACATTGTCGATATAAGTGTCGCTTGGCGATGAGTTGATACATGCTATGTACTGCAGTTCGTCTAAAAGACATCATTTATATACTTTTGACGACACTCGGTCTTTGTTTGCTTGGGATTTTAGTCTTTTTTAACGAAATGAAGGCAAGACGAGAAAGACTTCTTTTCTTCGGAATAGTCGCCGCAATATTCGTTTTACTATGGAATAATTCGGTTCTGGTCTACAAAAAATCAAGTCGTATTTCTTTGCCTTGCGAAGACACCTTTAACGAAAAAAAAGTTGAAAAAACCAGACAGAATTCGAGGCTCGGAATGCAATTTTTAAAACCCACTCCTTCCCGAAGAGTCAAGAGGTTTGTTTATCTTGTTCAGACAGCTCAGTGCCTTCCTGCAAAGCTTCTCAACGAGCAGCACATTGGAGATGCATTGCGCTGTAGATGTGATGTGGCGGTGCTAAGCTTCAAGCAACCTTGCGAAGATAAGAACAGAACTTTCTTTTCGCATGTTGAATATCTCTCACGTCCAGCCGATGGAGATAGAATTTCATGGTCTGCAGGAAGAAATTTGTTATTCTCAACATCCAAAGCAAGAAATGTTGAATATCTTTATTACATTTTCATGGACGATGATTTAGAATTGAGTTACAACAAAGCGCACACTCCGCCTTCGATGCGATCGGTATCCCCGATGCGTTCGTTCGAAAACTTTCTACTCCAATGCAAACCCGCCATTGGTGTCCCAAACTACTCAACGCACCACAGCTCTGACATCATGATCAAAAAGATTAAAACTATATGCAAAAGAGATCACTTTAATTCCTCTTTTGTCTTTGTCCCTATCGTTCACTTTGATGCGAGTTTGAACGCTTTTCACAAAGACGTCGTCCAACACATTCTTCCGTATCCTAGAAAGTACGATAAAACGAACTGGTGGCACAGCCAAAGATATGTTATCGCCGCTTCAGAACTAAAGTTCCGTGGACAATGTTACATGTTCATACCAGTTAACAGTGTCAATACAAAGCATGGAGATTACCCTCAAAATGATGTCAATGCTAATCAAGTTTGGTCCTCAATTGTCCAAAACTTGGTGTCAAATATTCCTCAAGAATATGCAAAAGAAAAGTGGATAAAAGAGTTTATTGAGGACCCTGTGAAACATACCGAGAATTCGCGGGCTATTTGTTGGAGATTCCCACTTAATTTCTCTATAAAACCTTTCGCATATTTTGCTTTGAATCAAGAATATAAAACTTGAATTGCTTGAATTTGGGATTCATGAACGGAATCCATATATTATATATAAGATACGAAAAATAAGAAGCCGTACAACTGTAAAGTAAATAAAATTCAAATTCAAAGGGCTTTCTGAACAAGAAATATCAAGCGATGGTCTTTAATCAAGCAGGGTTTTATTTTGACAATTTTTACAACAACCAAGACGTAACGATAGCAACCAACGAAGGGTAAGGTTAACTTTAAAAGGGTAAGGTCACTTTGAAAAATGTTTTCTCCAAAATTTGGATAGGACGAACTACCATCTAGATAAAGCTCTGGTCTATTGATGTAGGAAGTTTAAAGAGAAAACTTGGAGCCGTTTAGTGAAGAAAACGGCGAAAATGTGCTTTTTAGCAAAACTTTCATTTTTGAGGTTTACAACGACAATTAGTAAAAAAGCATTTATTCGATGAGGTTTTAAGAGTTTGGTGCTGATTTTTCGTAAGGCCCTTATAAGCTAAACATTTAAAAGATCTTAAAATAAAATACACTGTTAGAATCTAGGATAATCCAAGCAAGTTATATGAAAAATCCAGTTAAATTGACGTAATAGTTTTGCAAAAGGGAGCGAGAATAAAATTGTCCAAAATTCGCTCTGAATTAGTTTGGTTCCACCTTAAGGTGACTGCCTACTTTTGGAAATTGATTTAAACTTTTTTAAACTTCGATTTTCCAAATTGAAATTTAATGCTGACATTAAATCTGGAAAGAAAAATAGGGTGTCCCGAGCTCGTTTTCAGCATTTAAGCCTACGCACGAGCTTTTGGATTAGAAGTGATTAAAAAAAAATTAAGATTCATAAAATAATAGTTATTTACAGAGGCTATGATTGCACGAATGAAGGCTAGTCAATCATTCTACAATAATACATGGATATTTTTGACAAAAAGACAAAGAGATACATTGATTTGTCATATTTTGTAGTTTCGGTGCTCTTAAGAAATCTCATAAAGTCGAACAAAAATCCCTACAAAAATCTATTTTTTCATGTGTTACTGACTTAAATTTTTCCTAAAATGTTGATATAACCTAGATTTTTAGGAGTTTTTTCGAATGAGCTGTTAAAAAAATCGAGAGTCCCCTGCTAAATTTGAGGGCTATGCCCTGTTGAAGCTCAAAACGTGTATRGTTCTTTAATAAAATCTTGTAGATTTTTCAGTGGTTTTTGAGCGCGCGCACATCGTGGGCTCAAATCGAACGTTCAAAAGTAGGCAGTCACCTTAAGACACCAAGTTCAGTGACAGAAATATCACTGAATACTGACAGCCTTGTCGAGTTTGACATTAATTTTTTTGCTACATTTTGTATAATTATCGTTTCTTTATTGAAAAGATATACAGTCAATGTCATTAACGTTGTCCACCGAAAAAAGACATTTA